AATCATGCCAGCGTGATCCGGCCACAGTGTGTTATCTCAATTTTACCTTTTTATATTCATATTTGCAAGTTTACTTTTGCACCCTTCAATATGCTTGATTGAGCAAACATGTTTTAATGTGGTAGGCTATATGAAGACAACATCAAAAGCAATTAAAAGCTAGGATAAAATAGCACAAGACTCCTAAGGGCTAAACAACAAGCATGACAATAACATGACAGACATGGCATCAATTATTCGAAGCACAAAATAGCCTACTGATTTAGTGTGCATGTTAAAGCAATGGACTCTCTCCTCTGCTGACAGGCATGTCTCCCGCCAATGATGTAGTATTGTCAAAAGTTGTCCACAAGGCTTTCGTGGAGGTCAACGAGGAGGGAACTGAGGCTGCAGCTGCCACTGCTGCTGTCATAACGCCTTGTGCTATAATGATTCCTACCTCCTTCATCGCAGACCACCCCTTCCTCTTCTTCATCAGACATAACTCCACCATGAGTGTTCTCTTTGCTGGCCGATACTGCTGCCCTGAGTAAATGCTGTATGTCCTATAGACATGGATGGATTGTGAGACAACAAAAGGCACACCGTCCCTCCTTAATAAGCCTACAGATTCAAAGAGACATCTTTTTGGTTGTTTGTGTCTCTTTTTGGTCATTTGATGTCTCTTTTTGGTCTCTTTGTTCATCCATTCATCTGTCAAGTGTTGCAATTGTTTCCTACAGTCTGTTATTCGAGGTTTGTGTTAAACCTCAAATTTGATCATGTCATAAAACAAACGAAATGAATAAAAATAGTCTTTTCCTGTAATTAAGCCTATAATATATTGTGGCCATCTAAATGTCTTACAATTTGAGGTGTTCTCCTCTTTATCCAGAGACAATATGTAAATCTGACATCTGTCTGATAAACTGAGTAAACCAAAGAGAATATTATAATAGAAGCAGATTGCCTTGTATGTCACGTTTAAACACTGAATTATAATACCTATTTTATTTTTTTTACAGTAAATCAATTTACTAAACTGTAACATTTAGCATATGCACATACTGAAGCTGAAGTAAAGAAAGGAGAGTTTACATTAGGATTTTACTGCTGCCATGGAATGCAGACCAAGCCAGTTTCCTTTACCTTAACAAACAGAATCAAGAGTAGCTATGAATCAATGTGTGTAGTATTTTTTTCCCTTAAATAAATCCTTGTTTTACGAATGTAACCAGCAGTTTAAATATATGCGTCCACTTCATGCATTTCACCAATGCAATGAATTAGTTTGTCAAGACCATTGCTGCTTTTCAAATTGCATACTTTTAACTTTTAGTACATACTGCAGCTGCTTTGTCATAACATTGCACTTTGAACTTTGACCCTCTTGGTCATACTTATTCTGTGCAGAGGATTGTGGGTTAGAATAGCCAGAAAAGCATGTTGGCTTGCATACTGCAAAATGCAACCGGGTGCAATAGGACATCTGTTGAGCTGTTGTATCTACACATCAGATGTAGTTTACTAAATGAGTATGTTGAAAGAAGAGGTTGTCAGCTAATGAATCCAAAATATGTATCCTAATGCCTGGATAATGGAATAAAGGGGATTAGTTTGAAAATGCTTTGTGCCTTGTTTTGTTTAATTTTATAATTCCGTGTGCTAGTGTTGTAGTAGCTACTCAAGACTGGTCTTAAGACCACTTTTTGATGGTCTTGGTCTCGTCTCTGACTCAACCGCATTGGTACTCGGTCTTGTCTTGGTCTCGGACGTTGAGGACTCGGGATTTTATTTCAAGACCAGTCCATAACTTTGGGAATATAAATAAAAAACTGTTTTTGCATTATCTGATTTATTTGTTAACATCCTAACTTTGATTGAATATAAAACGTATTGCTTCAAATTCAACCAATAACCCTAATTAAAAATGTGTTATTATATCACTGCGATGTTAAACATGGAAAAGGAATGTTGAAGAAAGATGCTTGTGTTGATTTCAGCTCTTAGTGTTTGTACATGTTTTTATGGGAATGTGGATCTTTCAGATCAGTTTGAGAAGTACCTATGATCTCGTTCCACATTTTATTGTGTGTCATGTAATGTGGGGAACTGGTCTTGGTCTTGACTCAGTCTCGCCTTCCCTCGGTCTTGGTCTCGACTTGGTCTCTGCCCCTAAAAGTCTTGGTCTTGTCTCGGTCTTGATAAACTGCAGTGTTGGTCTTGACTTGGTCTCGGTTTGGGCAGTCTTGACTACAAGACTACCGTGTGCTGCAATACATTTTGTGCTGAATTCCCTCAGGCTTCATGTTCTCTGAATGTCCGAATATTTCCTCAGGCTGGACCCAGTATGACCAGTAGAGGGAGCTGCTGCCTGTGGAACTGTCCAAGTGACAGGTGGTAGTAAAAAAAAAAGTGCTCTGCAAGTTGCTACAAGTATGATACACTACATGTGTTTGTGAAGAGTATGGCACACATACATACTATACTCAATCCAGTTGTATAGAGAAAGCTTACAAATTTCCCTTCCTCTGCTCCTTTATCTGTATCCCACTGTGGATGAAGTAGGGGAGACCGGGGGCAATTGTAACAATTTTTGGTTTCTTGGTTATAACTCAAAAACTTCTTGAACTAATTGGATACAGTTTTTATAGAGGTAACTTGTACCTGTGTTTTACTTGTTAACAGTCATCAAATGTTTTTACAAGCAATGTTAAAGTCACAATATTGATTCAAACACTAGATGTAAAATGTTACATCTGCCCCCACATGCAGGGGCGATTGTAACAACACACATAATTCCTTCATATGGATACCAAGGATCAAAATAAACTACCAAGAATATAGATATAATTAAAACAATTTAAGACCCATTGATATTACCGCTTGAAACTTCTCCCTTGTTATTAAGTGGTACAAGGACACATGACAAATGTCATAGCACTGAGTTGCCCCTCAAAACATCATCAGAGGTAACATCCCTATAAAATGGATCCCCAAATTGAGAGGCAAAAACTTGAACCTCTGGACTATGCCAATAAGTATTAGGCCTATTGATAACACATTATACATAGTAAAGTAGGTTATAAATCATTCATATACATGAATGATTTATAACCTACTACTAATGTTTAAACTGAACATTATTAGAAAGATGCTATCATCTATTCTTTTTTATATTGAGCTTCAATACAATGCTACTATTACAAACCAAAAGTCTAAACAATGTTGATCTCTTGATAAATATGTTGATAGATTATTATTACAGTATTTAACATTGTGACAACTTCTCATTTGTAGACACTGAAGATATTAAAAGCATGAGCAATTGGCTCTTGCTGGGAATTAATTCAACCCGGTTCCCAGAATGAAAAGGCCAAAGATTTAACTATTGGACTATGCTGCAAAAGACATATTATATAATATAGATATTTAAACTGACCACAACACTTTTCTAAAAATTATCAGGAAAAAAGACTATATATTTTTATGTTATTTCTAAGCCGAAAACTATTTTAATTGGTTTTGGGGGCAATTGTAACACAGTGTTACAACTGACCCCAACTGTAACTCCTCCATGACAAACATACCCTGCTGGCTAGAAACAATGAAGTTTATATTTGACAAAGATATCAACTGTTAGACAACAGAATGATGATCAAAAAAAGACAGATTTAAATTCATAGACATTAAGGGTTATGAGAAAATTACTGTAGATGAAAAAAATTACTTTCATAGCTCAAAAATGACTCTTGGCTGAAAAACATTGTCAAGAATGTATCATCGGCTTGTCCTTCGGCAGGCAGAGAGAGATGGTCACAGAGAGCGTGCATGATAAGTTTCATGATTCTGTCTTGTTTCTGATTGGTGCAATTTGAGATGTTACAATTGCCCCTTGTTACAATTGCCCCGGTCTCCCCTACACAGCTTCACGGTCAATCATGACTGAATGATTTCCTATAGTTGTTGCCTGGTCATTTAAAACATTGGCTGACTGACCACTTGCTTGATTACCTGACATCTTCCGCTGTCTGGCAGGAGAGACTGTCGTACCACCAGACTGCAAAGCAATACTTCGCTTAAGCTGATGATACACGGGGCAACTTTTTGAGCAATGTTGCTGGGCAGTCTTGTTGGTGGCAAGTCCGACTATGTTTTGAACGGATAGCGGTGGTGCGGGGAGGGCGGTGTAGTGATGGGGGAAGGGGATTACGGTAGTAATCTTTACTCATTACCATTGACGGCAACATTGCCCAGCACCATGGCTCTAAAAGTTGCTCCGTGTATCATCAGCTTTATAAGGCTATGAGACTCCTCAATTCGTCCTCAGCCCTCCATCATGTAAACTACTTTTTAACATTAATAATAATAAATAATTAAATTGATTATTTGTCATAAAAACATGTCACGCAGCAGAGTTGCTGCATCTTCCTTAATTAATCAAATCTCCTGACGCAGATTACCGCACACAGAGAGATAAGACGTCAAACACAGGGTCCAAGCTGGCGAGCTGAGGTTTCCCATGAAATGAACTCAGCGAATCATTTCTGATTCATTTTACGCCAATTGCTTTTTAGGTAAGAGATTCCTTCGATATGCAAGTTATTATGGTAAGTCAGTGGTCAGTAAAAACAAGCCTACTGTAATTTCTGTGTGAATCAGGTTAGAACATCATAGGAAAAACATTTATATCACAGTGTTTTATGTTTTTTTAATATACACCGGGCATAAGACAGAGGTGAAAAATGGTACCCTGGACCCTACATAGAGAAAGGTTCGCTGTATCCCATAATCAAAACAAAATTGTATTAGACTTCACTAGAATTATGTTTAATTTGCAGAATTAAACTAAATTAGTTTCCAACAAGCGGTCGCCCAGTCTGATGCAGCATTGAATTAGTAGGCCTATAATACAACTACCTGGAGAAATTATGTGTTCGCAATCCAATTCATTTTCTGATAAAAATGTATTGAGATAACCTAAAAAGCGAGTAAGTTGTTGTATCCGTTCGGCTTCCGTACAATGACATATGAGAACGCGGAAGCTCATCTGATGATTTTCGGGGCGTGTCAGCTTGCAAATAATACAAAGCTGAAGCTTCAAGCAGAAGTCTTCCAGTGAAGGAAAGACATCTGATCTTTTGAAGACCTCAAGAAAAGTGTCTGTCAGTAAGTACAGAGTCTCATTCTGTTTGTGACAATGAGATCTGATTTAGTTTGTAGATAGATGGTGTAACAGCAGTTAAAACAATTTTACATGACAGGTTAAACAGAAGGCTACAGGCATTATGTTACAGGTGAAAAGTACAAGTTTGACAGTCGTGCAACCTTATTGAGTCATGGTATGGCGTTATGTATAGAGTGAAGTAGGCGTAATGTAGCAAACTTGGTCGTTTCCTTGTGCAATCCCAGAGCGAAGTTAACCTTTCAGATGTTTTTCCTTCCCGAGTCCATTGCAAAATCTGGAAGTTAAATATCATCTTTAATGTATGAGGTTTTTTTGTAAATATATTTACAATCTGCTGATAAATTTGAATACACACCACCAAAGATGCAGTATAATTTCAATAAAATCCTAAATTACTAGACAACTTCTTTACTAATAAGGTTGGGATAGGTGAACCAATTGTTTAAAAAATTATATTGAATCAACCCTCCTAGGTCAATTTAATGTTTGTAAAAATTTGCCACAATAGGTATTTTTAATTGCAAATTAACTAACTTGGCGCTTGTCCCAATGAGAGAGTGAGAAACTAATCAGATGAAGAAATAAAAGCTTTCTTTTAAGTTTGTAATGTAATCACTAATGCTCTGCCCTCCCTTCTTTTTAGACACAATGGCATCACCAACTCCTCTATCCAAGGCCAACACCTCCTTCTCTCTGGCTTTGCTCAACAAGCTGGGTGGTAATGACAAAACCGCAAATGTCTTCTACTCTCCTTTTAGCATCTCTTCAGCCCTGTCTATGGTGATGCTGGGGGCCAGGGGCAACACAGCCACACAGATGTCAGAGGTACAGTACACACACACACACACACTGCCTTTGTGAAAAGTAACAAAGTAAAAAAAAGTAAAAGTTGGTGGACCTGGTTCAGCTTGGATTTGTGAAGCTTATAATCTTACACATCTTAGACTGTATTATTGCCTTTTCCATCTGGTAGACCCCATGGTGCAGATGTTCTATAAAATCTGCTCCATTAAAGAACCACCTCTGTGTCTTCTGAAATGACCATAAAGGTAACCCAGCACCTCTCTGAGACAATGTAGGTTGGGAATGAAGGGCAGAGAGAAAGTACTGCAGGCGTGTAAGCCCTCATTCTGGATGAATCACCCTTTTTTTTTATTTTATTTTTTTTCTTTCAGCATCAGCAAAAATGACAAACATCTCTTGTGTTCATACTCTTGCTAGGTTTTATGAGGGGCGTCTCTGTGTTGTGTAACTAGGAATGTCATACATAATATGGAACAAATGTTGTTATGTGCAGCAGGCATGCCCACTTGTCAGGCTGCCTGAGTGTCATCTGTGAGAAGTTTTATCAGTCACTGAATGTATGCCAGCTGGAAGAATATTTGTAGTCCTCTATAACTAAACTCACAAATACGGGTATCCTTAAGAAAATGCATTTGCAAAGCTTAATGTATGTTTGAACGTTGCATATACAGTGATACTGCACATTGCTTAATGGAATAAGGGACTGATTTATACTTTTAAACCTTGAAGAGACTAAGACCCCTCAGACAAGATAAAGAGTCAGGAAAGTTTAGATTAAACATCTAATCATTGCCAGAATAAGACACAGATGACAAACGTTGATATGAAGTTTAGAGTCTTCAGTAAAATCCCCCTTCAGTTTTGTCAGTCTGTACACTCAGTAGAGATAGGTTGAAGTTAACATGGTGTAAATCAGAACATTTGGTGACATATTTCAAAATGATTGCTAAAGCAAAGCCACACCCAGCTAGGTCAGGCTTGTATAAGAATGTGGGAGGGGCAGAGCTTCACCCTAAACCCACCCACCTCCAGTCATATGAAATGATAATGTTGTGGAAGATAATGGATTTATGACAGTGATTACGACATACCATTTTAAAGCATGTTTTATTTCTTTAAAAGCCCTTCTAGGGACAGGTGTTGCAAATTAGCAATTGCTATGGTACACACTAGATTGCTGTTTTCAGTTTATCTATGTTAGATGTATTGGACCCTAATGAAAAATAAACCAAATAAAATTGTATTCACAGCATGTGCAGGTTAATTTTTATTGTGAAGCTTTACATTAATACATACAGTGCAAGGAAAATATGTTGGGGTTTTTTTGTGCCCTTAATCTATTGCAGTAATCTCTTAACATGCTGCTTGACAGGATCGGGGACAACGTTGGTGTTAAATATGTAACAGCATGCATTTCCTTTTTATAAAAGTGTTCACTGTTCAAAGCAAGGAGCTGTGACACAACCTGTTTTTCATTGTCTTGTGCAAAAAGGCAGGGTTTGTTCCTGAAGGTAGTAAAATTAATGATGAAGCATTCAGCTTTCTGCATGATGCAATGACTACAGCTAAACCGCACCTACGCTGCAACAACTACCAAAGAACGTATTGACATTGGTATTGGCACTGTCATTACCTGTGTCAGTAAAGTTAATTCTGTGAGAAACCTGCTGTGTTACCAGACACAGCAGGTTTTTTGTTACTTACACAGTAAGAGAGACCCACCTAACAACACCAGCACTATCCCCAAGACAGAAATCCAACTGATTTATTGTATTTTCATGGGAGGTACTTCTAATGGTGTGTCAAACAAAATAGGGTGATCCTGCCTCTGTGGTGATAAAACTCAACTGTGTGCATGACTTGGTGAGTAAGAGACAGTGGGTGTGTGATTTGTGTCAATTTATGAAAGAGGGCAAAGGTGACAGTGATGTGGGGCAACTGTGAGGATTTATCAGCCAATTATCAGAAAGTCCAACTGTGTGAACTGGTTTCTACTTATAGTAACTTGTTCATTTGCCAGCTGGCCAACATTTGCTCCACAAATACTGCAGTCTGTTGATGGAAATAACAAATGTGTGATGTAATGGCATTACTGAAATTTGTAAGATCTTGTTTTTTTACCTTCTCGTTACCCATTAATGTTATGTTTTTAGAAATGTGCATACTCTACGATTTAAAAAAACACAAAATAAGGCCATGAGAATCTTAGGTTGAAAGCCAATAAAAATATATTGGTAGGCCAGTGAAGCCTGTTACAGTTAAGTTATTTAAATAAGGTTATCTAAAATATTTCTGAAATAGCGCTTCAGTTTTACAACTAAGATGCCTTTTGATTATTATTTTATTAGTCTAATACTTTTTTTTTTTTTTTGTCTGAAGTGCCTCCACAGCCCCGTCTAGTGATCTAAAGTACCCTTTCATCCACACCAGCTGTCATGTTCCAAAATGTGGTGATTTTTTAAATTTATTTTAAACTCACAGTATTTAACCCCATTAATTCAATAAAAGCAGATATTGGTTGAGCTGTTTTTTCATACAATCGAGCTGTCAGTGTTAAGGACAGATTGGTCAAGTTTGCATTTGTACTGCTAACGCTTTTCACCCATTGATCCCTTACTTTTATCTTTCCATTACTTTTAGCTAACTATTTCAACCATTTATCTATTGCACTTACTGAACTATGTGAACAGTTTATTCATTAGTTTAAGCCAACCATTTCAACTAATTATCCATTACTGTTGACAGCTGTTTGGATGTCTCGCTTGCTAACTAGTTTTCACGCACTCAATCGCAATATGTAGCATTGACATCTTACAAATGACTTGACATGTAAATTTGTTTTTTCAGTTTAATTTTAATCTCTATTCTGTCATTTACTTTAAGCTACTGCAATCTGTCAATTTTTCCAGGTACATCTGGCAATTTTAGAAGTACCCCCTAGTGTACAAGAAGCCCCAGTTAGTCTGGTCTAAACAATGCAGGCCTATAACTTCACAAGAATAAATTGCCATTGAGAAGTGAGGTCATAACCAACTACTCAAAGTGCAACAACAAATAACAAACCATGTAAATCAAGGTCAATCAGTAGATTGACTTTAACTGTCAAAATTGGCAGTCCAATTAATTTTCTCTTCACTTTTGGCTCTCTGCCAGCTGGTGCACCTTTCCCAAGGCACACTGGTTGACTCTGTAAAGTTCTGACATTGCTCCAGTTACTTGAAAGTGAACTCAGGCTGTGGTGAGTAAACCATTTCAAGATTGTCGGGTGTGGTTACTCTTTAGCACCTCTGCTCACCCTCACACAGACAGACAAAAGTGAGAGTTATGACTAAAGATGCCAATGCAATTACACTCATCAACTTTCTAGGTAACATAATTCAGCAAATGTGTGTAGGAAATGTTATGTACATTCACAGGTGAATATTGTGTGTTTGTTAACCCCATGTATTCTGAGATAATATGTAACATCTTTGTGCTGGAGAGAAGTTTATCTCACAACTGCATAAAGGTGTTTTATTGAGGAAAACATGATTTACTCACTCCTCTCTGATCAGCTGTTGGTATAATTTTTGATCAGCCTTCCAAATCTAAGGGTGGTGTACTGTACGAGGCCTGTGGATTACAACTCAACCCGGCGCACATCACTGCCAGGATGATATTATAACTTCCTGTACACAACCAGAGACACACGAGGTTTAACTTAACCGTGAACACTACCATCCCCTAGGTCCTCAGCTTCACTAAGGCAGAGAAGCATCGGCATGCAGGAGCACCCCACATGCAAACGCAGCAGCAGGCCCAGTCCAGACTGCCACCAAATCTGCAGAAGGTGGTAACAAAACCAACAGTACAGGAGCGCTAAACTAACTGAGGGGCATTTTACTAACTGTCTGGGTGGTGTCATGTGGTGAGGGGATCCTTGGAAACAAAGAGCCAGTGGTTCCTGAGACAATTTCACACTTGTTTTCCCTCTGCAGGTCTCCCGTCTGTTGCTGTACTGACCTGAATTGGTGACCATTTCTTTTTATGGTTTCTTTCTGGTGTGCTTTTTATCTCCAATAAGCAGCTGCTGGAAACCACAGTGTGATTAGACGTAACTGTCAAGTTTGAAATTTTGACAACAAAGTGCATTAGGAAAACGGAGTGCACACAGATTAAGTTGTTTCCGTGTGTGTATTGCCATATTCTAGGAGATTGTATTGTACTCTTGTATGCAGGCTACTACCAAATTTAGCAAACGTTGTCTGCGGAAGATGATGGTTTATGTGTTTTTGAAGATAACCATGCAAATAACAACATGGTGGAGGGATGGCGTGTATGTGTCATTTCTGGAAAGGCTCGCCAAAGCTTGGGCAGCATTTCTATGGGTTCTTTAAAGTCAGTGTTAACGTGTTCCCTCTACTTTTGCCATGTTTTCAGTTTGTGTTGGGATGTTGTGCATTAACGCTGGCATATAAATGAGATAATCTGTTCTCGGATACAGTGTGTACAGGATGTAGAGAATAATTAATTACTGAAAGCCTTCAACTTTAAGGATCACCTTATCCATTAAGTGTGCATTTCTTCCCAATAGATCATTATGACCCCATCTATTTGTATTAAACTAGGTTCCATGCTGATTTAATTTGCGTTTTAAATAACTGACCTGTTTGACTTTTTGTTTTCATGACCAATTGATTTAAAAGAGATTTATAGCCAAATATGTCAGGCTTTACTTTTGAGCGACTGCATACTGTAGTTACCGAACACAATACAACATACTGTACATAACTGCATAGCATAGTTAACCAAAGTCAACAGGAAAACCTTGCATATTTTGTCTATAGTCTCATCACTTAATTGGCAAGATGGCAACCAGGTCAGTCTAATACACTGTTTATAATACAGTGGTCTGTCACTTGCTCATTGTGTCTCTAACATCACTTGTCTGCTTTTTCCACAGTCTCTGAAAACCCAGAATTTACAGGATGATGTTCACGTGAGCTTTGCCCAACTGCTGAGCGAGCTCAACAAGGCAGGTGCTCCGTATGCCCTCAGTGTTGCTAACAGGCTGTACGGAGAGCAGTCCTACCAGTTTATTGAGGTACGTGTATGTTTCAGCATGTGTGTTTGCATTGCCATAAGTAGGTGTGGTTTTGTTTGCATATGAGTGGTCGGGCTGGAGTGAATGAGAAGCACAGACAGGAATCTAAAAGCTGTGAAATAACGAATAAGGGAGTTCCCAGCATTCAAACAAATAGAGCAGTGATTGTGAAAATACTTTTCTGGCTGTAAAGACTTTAAAATCCAAGTTAAGTGTATGTATATTATTTTTTTTGTGTGATCAGAACTGGTAAATGTGTTGATGGTTCCAGGATTTCTTAGGAAAAACCAAGAAGCACTACAAAGCAGAGCTGGAGCCTTTGGACTTCAAAACCAACTCAGAGTCAGCCAGGGTCCACATCAATAGCTGGGTGGAGAAGCAGACACAAGGTGGATCATACACACTAACCTACTCACGCATTAGTATGTTAATAGACCTGCATGCCCCCTTCATTCAATGGAAATGTATTGAAGAACCAAGACCACATTAATGTAAATCACAGTCCTGCGTCAGTCTCTTTTGCGTAGGCAGAAACAGCTGGATTTCCAGACTGGCAAAATTGCACATTGACATGCAAACTATCATGGCCTTTCAATGCTATGAGTTCAAAAGTTTTTCAAATGGTGGTGCACAATTGATTTCATTTTGAAAGGCTGAGTTCTATTTCCAAGACTTTTCTGGTCTAATAAATATGATTTCACAAAATTCTGTAATGGGGAAACTGAGCTAGCCATTTTTAAACACTTCAGACGTGACAGTGTTTCACATATGTATCAATTTGGTTTGCCAGGTAAAATTAAGGACGTGCTGGGCCACGGTGTGGTGGACAGCATGACCAGGCTGGTGCTGGTCAATGCAATCTACTTCAAAGGAAACTGGAACAAGCAGTTTGAGAAGAGTTCCACACATGATGCTCCATTTAGACTCAACAAGGTAACACTGCTCAAAGAAAACATTCAGTGGACTAACACTGATTGACAAGTTAGTCTGTAAATATTTTTTTTCTGACTAGGGTTTTTAAAACTATTGCACAGTAGCATTTACCATTTAGGCCATGAATTCTGACTTCTTCACTGAAAGTAGTGAAAACAGGTGAATTAAAGGATTCCTCATCAGGGCCATGGCAGCAAATCTGACCATAGGAAATGTGGAAATTGTGGTCAAAAGAGGGTGAAATCTGATGACTTAATAAAAGGTCATTTGTCAGACACTTTTGTATGAAATATTGTTCTAATATTGTTTTTTGTTTTTTTTAAACATCGAGTGTTAATCATGATTTGCTATGCTCCAGTAAAAACTAAATCATGATGATTCCACTTGGTGTAGAGAAGACACCTTTTCTCAGACCACTAAGTGTAAGAATATGTTTGTGGCTTAAGTAAGTTTTAGTCTGTAGACACACCTATATAGTGGTACCACAAAATAGATACTGCTTTGTTTATTGACAAATGCTTCACCAAAGTAAAAAGGATTGGAGATTGGACTTCTCATAAAAAGTGATTTACCTTTAAACTGGTCAACAAAACATTGGAGCTGCACTAAGTGATTAAGTAGATAACAGGAACATTGAAAAAGATTAACAGCAAGCTTTGATACTTTTAAAATATGCTGAATATGTTAAAATAACTTAATACTAGACTTAAAATCAGTGATTTGCTGCCATGTCAAGTATGTTGCACCTCTGTGCACCCCCAACAATGATGTCACATTCTACTGAACACACCCTGCTGTACACTTATGTATCACTGCATCAAGGGGATGTGGAAGATTTCAGCTGGTGGTGAGTTTCTCTTCAAGCTCAGGTTTTTTTCTATTTGCTGTTTTCAGAATGACACTAAGCCAGTGAAGATGATGTATCAGAAAACTAAGTTCCCTCTCACCTACATCCCCGAAGCCAACTGCCAGGTAATCAGGCAAATCAGTTCGTTAATTGATTAATATGGTATGTCAGTCAACCAGCTGTTAACTGGTCAGGCAACTAATCAACCAATCATCTATTCATCACCAGTCATTGTTTGATAATGAAGTTAAGCGGGACTTAATTAGATTTCAAAGATTTGATAAGATTTTGGTTTTGATCCAGCTTTCTTTTCTTTCTTTCTTTTTTTTTACCATAACTATGAACTACCTTACAAGAGTTGTGTGTGTTGCATGTAATCACGTAAACTATCCTGGTAAAACACACAAATAACCAAACAGAACATATTTGCTGTATGTTTGAAACCTTCTGTTGGACAGATCCTAGAGATGCCGTACAATGGAAAGGAGCTCAGCATGCTCATCTTCCTACCAAATGAATTCGAGGACAGTACAACAGGTCTGGAGAAGGTAGGACACAGAGACACACACACATACACACTGGCACACATAAAGAAACGAACAAGATGCAGACAACCTAATAACTGTTTTTGTGTCCACCCCCAGCTGGAGAAGACGCTGACCTATGAGAACTTTGTGGAGTGGACGCGCCCAGACATGATGGATAACATTGAGGTCCAGGTGGGGCTGCCTCGATTCAAGATGGAGGAGAAGTATGACATGAAGAATGTCCTGATCAGCATGGGCATGGTGGATGCCTTCGACATGGCTTCGAGTGACTTCTCTGGTAGGACATGTGTCTGGAACATTTCACATATATTCATCATCATTTAAAGAACAGGGACCAAAAGCTGAACTGGCTCCTGTCAGTTCAAAGGAGCAACAAGTCAATACAGAGGTTCTATTAAATCGGTGTGCTCTACATTTCTGTCATGTAGGGTGAGACAAGGCATTATAGTTATTTAAAATATTCTCTTTCCTTCTCCTCTGCTGACAGGCATGTCTCCCGCCAATGACCTAGTACTGTCAAAAGTCGTCCACAAGGCTTTCGTGGAGGTGAACGAGGAGGGAACTGAGGCTGCAGCTGCCACTGCTGCAATCATGATGCTGCGCTGTGCTTTGCCTACAGCCAGGTTCATCGCAGACCACCCCTTCCTCTTCTTCATCCGACATAACCCCTCCATGAGCATTCTCTTTGCTGGCCGATACTGCTCCCCCAAGTGAACACTTCGTTGTTCAGAGCAGTGTTGTTTCTCAAGTGGAGGGGGGGGGAGTTACAATACATATATTGCAACAGTCTAAAAGTTTTTTGGTATTACTGGAAGATGTTGTGAATCACTACTTTAGTTTCCTATAGCTAATCACACTCTGAGTTCCCGTCCTATATTTTATCCTGTGCCTTACTGAACATTAGGTTTTTGCACTGTTTATCTTTTGCACCTGATGTCATCTTTAGGATCTGGTTTACCCTGTCTGTAATACATGTATGGTCCTGTTTGCTGCACACTCACACCCTAGTTTAGCTATACCATTAGAGTTTATTAGTTAGTTTATCTTATCGTATACCTTACACCCTTTGAAAGAGTTTACCTTTATCAGAATGTCTATAATGCCTCTTCAAACACTAGCACGGACATCAAGTGTACTTTAATACCATACGAAGGTGTGACTGTTGCAACTTTTTTTCTACATTACATGCTACATCTATATTTTTCATATTTCTTTGTTTTAGATATTCAATAAACCAAAGAGAATAATGTGATGAAATCACATTGTCCGATAGATATATCCATAGTGATTTGTAACTGAGCAAAGCACAGATATGTAATTGTACCATTATGCATAACATAAATATAGACTACATGAGCTTACATGAAGGTTTGACCTGGTCCTTTTTATGTATCCTATTTCTCATGGAATAAAAGTGTGTGTGGTTTGCAAATATTGTGTGTCACTTTTTTTTAAATTACATTTGTCTTTATTGATATTTTCTCAGATTTGGTTCAGCCACGTGTAATAAAATTACTTGCAGTTCATTCAAATAATACTACTGTGAGAAGTCTTCATATTCAAATCATATTACTTACTGTTAATGTTTAATGTAAACTAACAGCAGTATGATGCTTTTATTAATTCCATAGATATTACTTACATGTAAGGAAGAATAAGTATATTACATTATATTAATACTACTTTTACTCTCCAATTTCTACTTTTCTTTCCTGGGAGTACAAGAATAATACATGTTATACAAAATACAGCAACGCTGAACCCCTAAAACTGGGGCTGTTACACTTTCAAAGCATAAATATCTAATAATATAAATTATATGTTTAAGGGAATGCAGCCACAAGTGTCTTGTCTGACCTGAATATAATCTGCCTGTACAACGTTTTCAGATAACCTCATCTGCTGCATACCAGAGCAGTGAAACCACATGTATGGTGTGTTAAATACAACACAGAGGGAGAGAAGTGATCTTTCACAGCGACGGTTTAATTAAAGTCTTCCTCCAGCCCAGTAGGTGGTGATAATGCATCTCTGTGTTGGTGCCCTGAGCATAAGTCCAAAAAGAAGAGAAAGTTAGACAACGCACTTCCGGATAACTTCCTAGCTGTCATGTTTGAAGTATGGATATTCAAAAACGAATCGCTTATTAACAAAACATGATGAACGGTATTATTACCAGACCTCTCCGTACGTTAAAGGCAAGCTGAGATGGCCAGTGTTTGGCTAACGTATTCCAACTCGGAGAGACGACAAACTAGCTAACCTTGCTCGAACTGTAGCCTGCTAATCTGGTTTTCCCTGCTTGGTTTGCTGATGGAGAGGCTAATAACCCAGCTCACAGAGAAGCATGTGCTTTTCACGGCTTCCTTCGCTATACGACTGGCCCTGGTCGCTTATGGAGACTACCAGGATAGGACTATGGCGGTGAAGTACACTGACATTGACTACCATGT